GAAACGGTCCCTTATGGTCAATAATCTTAGGCGGCGATCTTCACGGTCTGTTGTTCTACGGCGGCGTCCAGTGCCCTTTGCTCTTTGCGTACGGCCTTCTCGAAGCCATGCCTGACAACACCTAACCACAGTGTCTACACTTCTTTGCACTCTATCTGCAATTGCCCGAAAAGAAAGTCCCGCTTCCCGAAGTCCCACTATACGGCCACTATCAAACTCACTAAGTTGACGAAATCGTACAGGTCTCCGTACTCTAGGCATCGTAACCGATCGTAAAGGATGTCAAGAACCAAAATCCGCCAACGTTGATTCTTTACTGCGGCTGAAATATTCATTTTTAGAGCGTTAGTGAATTAAAAAAAAGCAGTATAAAAACCGGAATGTCCAACTGATAAGGCTGAAAATTTTTTCACTTGTTATTTCCAGTAAGATAAATACATTCATCAACTTTTTATTAAAATAAAACCATTTAAATTGGGTGTTCGGATTTATATGTCACTTAGTATATATTATACAACCGGATCTTAAGACTTTCTTAAGCGTGTTTTTTTAAAATTATTTTAAAATATGCACTAGTAACATATCAAGGTTCCCACGAAAACAGATTTTTGATATCCTTTTCGTTTGTTCATTATTACTATCCATTTTCATTGGGACACCCTGTAAAGATCTTACCTGATGATTGACAATTTTACTAGGGTCTTGGTCCTAATTTCCATATTAGCGGTATATAAGGTGAACATTATTTTATTTGGTGTTTTTCAGCTATAATTTATAAAAGTGTAACGTAAATGATGCTTAACATTATAAAGTAAATGTCGCAAGCTTTTGAAACACACTTTGAGCTACTATTCATATTTTTTCAGTCTGTATCAAAATGGTCGATTTCTGGGCACCCTTTTGCTTACCTTATCTTAAGTGACAGATACTTGTTTAGACACCTCACGATTGAGTCTTTATTTGAGACACCAGTATCTACTTCCGATTATTTATCTCACAGCGAATATTCAATTAGTTTTTCACTTCTTTGAATGACGCATTGTCTCTAGGGGTGTGTTAACAATTCATGTTTAAGTGGCCACTGATTCTGGGACCATAACGATGGTATATTTCGTTGAAATAGAGAACGCAATACCGCTCTTTTCCATTCAGTTTACTACTTTCCATGTTCTCGCCTTTGTAGCTGTGATATATAGTAACATGATTCTACCATTCCACAAAATGGTTATTCTCCTTTCATTTGGGGAGTTCGGCATGTTTAAAAATAGGATTTTCGTGGAATCACTTTAGAGTCGTTCCCCCTAACGACATTGAAAAAGGAAACAATGATTCACTCCTTCATATATATGGCTAAAATACAGGGTCTGCTGAATATTCGCACAATTCTTGACGTATTTTTTTGAAAAGAAGCTTTAAAGAGCAGCTTCATTTGAGTTAACAAACTAGATCTCCAAATAAGCTGTAGGGTTGTTATCTAGGCCGTCTTTGAGGTTAAATATAAATTGACAGATATACCAAAACGCAGACCGAGTTTTTTGTGATGATATGCCATGTAACATCTAAGAAAATCATCTCATTTTCGAAATTTCTCGCGATTACAATACTTACTCTCCAATTGACGTGAAAACTAAAGCGCTTACAAACAATATGAATATTCCGATTACTCTACTTTGTGAAATTACCGTAAAACATGCACGGCTTTATCCACTTCCATGCGATATAAAAATTTCATATTCATGTTATGCATGAAGATGCTTACTTTATCTAAAATCGTGCATTGCAACAGCGAAGTGAGAAATATCGGGACAAGCATAAAACTTCAAGTATGCGCGGTATAACTTTGAGTGCTATTTTATGAGTGGGTTGTGTCGTGTGCTCTAAAGCATTCTCGCCGCAAAATGACTTGTAATTGACCTTATCATTATTTCTTGGCCGGCAACCATTAAGAGAGGCGATTAAATATTATACAGTATGTTATCACGAACAATCTGTAGTCGGAGCACCATTGTACTAGGCAGAGCTATCAGAAATACCAGTGAACAGTATTTCAAGTACCTATACCAAAGGTACGAAATTCTTGGCAGTGACTCATCTATGCTGCTGAAAAGCCGCAGTTGCCAGATTTCAAAAATGAATTTACCTATCCCTTTAAAAGAATATATGATGTAAAACTAGTAACAACTAAGAAACGTATATTGAGATGGACAATTGTTAGTAGGATTATGTATATAGTAATAATAATAATAATAGCTTTATTGTCCAACAGTTTCCCATTTATAGGACAATTTATAAACATAATACAAAAGTAAAAAAAAGCGAAAGAAAAGCGAAAAGAAAACAACAAATGCAACACAGGTATAAATTTGTAACATGAGCTATTGGTCTGAATAAGCCTTAGCTGCCTTTAGCAGGTAATTAACATTTGTCGTAAATATATCACAGTAACATCCAATTCTGTTTAAGTTAGAGCACATTACATACAGGGTGACTCTGAAGTTGAGTCATTAATTTTCAGATAATGATTGTAGAAGGAAGATAAACCAAAATATGTGTGTAAAAATAGAAAAAAATTAAAAAAAATGTTTACCTTGTTTTATAAAGTATCCTCCCGACAAGTATTTCAGTGCGGACCTGTATTTGATCGTGAGGTCTTGGAGCACCGGCATGCCGTCCATATGTGAGGTCTTAAGTCACCTGATTCACGAACCCGTTGTACTACATTAACAAAGGCACGAGGGGTTGGTTGCACTCGATTGGGAAACCGATCCGCATAAACATGTGCCATTTTTTATTTCGTTTGAGCCACGCAACAGACACCACTATTCACTACCGACTGACACTGACTGTATACAACTGAATAAAATAATTGTAAAACCATCGTTCCAAATTCTTTCGCTTATTTGTTTCCGATGCGATGAACCGATAAGGCGGATTATATCCGTTGTCGCCAAACACGAGCACATAATATTATTATTGACACAGGGCGGTACTCAAACTTCCAAAGGGCTATAACTTTGTTACTTTAATTTTACCAGAAAAATGGTAAAGGAAAAAAACATTTCTTTTGATCGGATCTACTCACTGTTAAAATAAATGACTCAACTTCGAAGTCACCCTGTATAACGGTGACTTGAGAAGAATGTTTGTCCTAGCTCTAGGAAGCCCGAATATTTTATGATTGCAAGATGCAAACGTTGGAGTACGAAACTTGATCTGTTCCAGGATCATGGGGCAATCAATTAAATTGTTGATCATTTTGTAGCCAAATATTATTGAGACACTGTACCTACGTTTTTTCAAAGTCAACATGTCTAAGCGACTACTTAGTTCCTCATTACTTGTACCTCTCTCTGGATATGTCCCATCAATCCTAAACAGAACAAACTTCATAAACTTCCGTTGTACTCTTTCAATAGCTGTGCTATAGCATTCATAGTAAGGGCTCAAAATAATACTACAATATTCGACTTTGGATCTAACATAAGCATAATATAATAACTTAATAGACTTTATGTTATGAACATTCCTGCAATTCCTTACTATGAAACCATAAGCCGCTAATGCTTCTGATGCTTTTTTATTTATATGCTGACTAAAAGTTAACTTTTGATCATAGATTATACCTAAATCAAGTACATCAGAGCATCTTTCTAGCACAGACCCATCAATAGAGTACGGATATTCGCAAACATTAATTTTCCTGGTATAGCTAACTATTTTACACTTCCTCACATTAAGCTCCAACTTGTTTTCTACACACCAAGACAGCACAAAATTTAATTGGTGTTGTAGCTTGATACAATCTTCAGGAGTATTTATCTGCGAATAAATTTTTAGGTCGTCAGCAAAGCATAGGCGTTCACATTCAACTGAGTCACAGAGGTCATTAATAAATATCAAAAACAGTAATGGTCCCAGGTTGGACCCCTGAGGAACTCCAGAAGGTGCCAAGTAGGTCTCAGATTGGAAGCCATTATAGCTAACAAATTGTCTACGATCGGATAAGTAAGATTTCATCAACTCCCTAGCATCATCTGTGAAACCAAGTGCACCTAACTTATTTAATAAAGTTTTGTGGTTAATTTTATCGAAAGCCTTCGAGTACGGTTACAACAGGCATTTGGAAATGAAGCTTCGTCCTGGGCAAGTGTGATTCGCCGGTATGCCGTATTTAGAAGAATGCGTATTTCATTGGCTGATAATGAACCAGAAAACATTGCTAAAGTTCAGCGTCTAATTGAAGAATATTCTCGCTGCACATAAGCGACTATAGAGGCAACTCTTGTGGTAAGATCCGCAACAGTGCATACCATTTTGCATGATCATCTTCATTCAAAAAAAGTTGTTGCAGAGGTACAATCCTGCATCACGACAATGCCTCTAGCCACACAGCCCAACTAACTGTAGACTTTTTACGCCAGCGAAACATCAAAACGCTAGAAGATCCGCCTTATTTGCCAGATTTGGCAGTGTGTGACTTCTGGCCCTTCAAGGATTTGAAAAAAAATCTGCGTGGTCGAAAATTTTCGTCCGAAGAAAAAATCGATAAAGCAATCAGCAATGAGTTTGTTGAAGGCATTCCAAAAACTGACTGATTAGAAGCATTTAATTTGTAGCTTACAGAAGTGCATTGAAGCTGGAGGAGAATACTTTAAACATAAATAAACTAGTTTTCGAAAAATAGTTTTTAGTTTTCGTGTATCTTAAAATGTATAGCGTGACCCTCGTATCTCCGTTCTCTGTACTCCACTACTAACATGACAACACGCGGATCATTCCAGTGGCGTAGCCTGAGGAGAATAGTTCGAACGCGATTAGATAGTGATTGAGAATAGACGAGACAAATAATGGCTGGGCAAAGTGAAAGTTTGACACCAAAAAAAGTGTACTAATGAACTACTACATACTACTGGGGAGAGAGAGTTAATACACAACGTTTACGACGGACTTCGTGCGCCAGAAAAAACATTAGGTGTTCATGATGCTGTTTTACTTTGTAGCATCGTAACAAAAGTGTATGGAAGAACAATTTTTCGGATAATCAATAGAAAAGCTTCAACTGACAGAGAAAAACATCCGACGACTAGTGGTGGTACGAGGGAAAGGAAGAAAATCGTTTCTGATAAAGATACCAAATATGCTTTTCGCAGACACGTACATTCCTTTTTTTCGAAACGAGATGCATACAATACCAGAAATTGCGGCTGAAATCGAAAAGGACGACAGTATTCCGAAAGTTTCTATGAGGGTTCCAGAAAGAACGATTCATGAGTTGAACTTTAGGTATTTAAAGCGGACGAGGAAGTCATGTCTGATTGAAAAAGAAGAAATTGTGATGTGGCGACGTAAGTACTTAGCGAAAATGCGGAAGTACAGATACGAAAATAGGAAGATATATTATCTCGAGGAAACGTGGGTGGATGAAGGATACACTATGCCAAAGGTATGGCAAGATATAAATATTACCAGTCGTCAAAGGGCCTGCAAGGATGGATTTTCTATAGGACTGAGAGCACCTACAGGTTAGTCTAGACTTTTTCTAGGTCATAACTATACAGTGTCTTTTTGTAATTCAGCATCATTCATTTTGGACATCAGCATCTTATATATAATGTAAATCATTATAATCGTACTTTAATGACCCAACTGATTCTAGCAGACAATCATAATATCTTGCCACTTTCATTATATAATTATATATCCATTATTATCCCATCTAATGCTAATCACCATAATCGGATCAAACGTTTCAATCGCCAGGTGTTAAAAACTTAATTTAAACAGTTTCTCGTAGTTAAATGCACTTGGGATCCGTTACAGAGCTGCCTATGTGTAATAATTTATTACCTTTTTCAGTACTTTATAAAACACTGAAAGCCATTACTCATAAAAAACAAAAAAAGATAAACTGATTCGTAACTTAAATATTAGGACGGATGAAAAGTGTTTTTTATTAGGTCCTTATCAGAAAAAAGGAAATACAAGAAAGTCATGTAAATTAAGGCCATTAGAAGACTAATATCCTTCATTTACTGTTTTCCTAGACGCTTGAATTCATTAAAACTTTATTTCAGGTAAAGGGCGGGGGCTTATTGTAACACATACTGGCAGCGATGAAGGGTTTCTGGACAAAGGATAACTGACATATGAGTTCAAAACGACTGGAGATTAACACGACGATATGGATGCAAATAGATTTGAAGCATGCTTCAAAAGCATTTTGCCGGATATCCCTTCTGGGTCAGTCATAGTAACGGATCCATATCACAGCCGCCGACTAGAATAGTTGGCTACTAGTTCATGGCGGAAAAGTGACATAATTGGCCCAAGACAAAAAACATTACATACCAGGAACAAATGCTTAGACTTGAACTCCTTAATATCGCTAGGCAAAACAAACCCACGTCAATATTGTACGCTATAAATGAAATGGCTCGCCAGCATGGCATTATTGTTCACCCTATTATTGTGAACTGAATCCAATTGAGTTGATATGGGCGCAAGTCAAAGGCGAAATAGCAAGGAACAATACAATCTTCAAGTTAGCGGATGTCAAGTTATTGTTAAAAAATGCCATCAACAATGTATCCAGCGAGACCTTTCAAAAATTTATTCAACACGTCATCAAAGAGGAGCAGAGAATGTGGAATCTGGATACTCACATAGACAATATTGTTGAACCAGTTAAATAGCGACGACTCTGACTCACCTAGTGATGACTCCGATATTGAATAATCATTGATTTTTAGATTCTAATATGATTTTGTTTTTGTGTTTTTAACAGTTCATAATAATTTTATTATGTTTGCCTGAAGTCTTAATAAGTTTAGGTGTTTCATTATATATTTATTATATATACATTATTTATATTATAGATATGTACAATATACATATACAATAATGGCAGTTATTTGTGATGATAACTTTTCTGTTTCATCAATTACATTGTTAAATATCTGGTTAAATATATTATATTATATTAACACCTTTTATAAAAATTAGTTCGCACTTACATGAAACAATCCCTATCCACCCCTCTTGGTAACAGCGATGAGTCACTGACAAGAATTTCGTACTTTTGGTATAGTACCAATTACTTGGAATTATTCACCGGAAGTACAATTACCAAGTAGCTTTCCATCAAAATGTATTTCCAAAGAAATAATTCAAATACCTCGTACTTGTATAAGTATTTCAAATACTAGAAATATCTGTCAAATACTGTCTTAACATCTAAAGTACCTAGAGAGGTAATTGAAAATCTTGAAATATCTAAATTGTAAGAGACAGATTGAATTGATTTAATCTTTGTTGATTTTCTGTAAAAGATATTAGAAATTTGATTTTTTAGCAGCGTTTCACCGCTTGATTTCAATATAACTAACAAGAAGTCGAGTTTTTTGTTTGTTTTTAAAACAGGTCATCTCGCATAGTTTTCGAGAAAAACAAAATTCGCAGCTGGTTTCTAAAAAATCTACTTATTACACCAAGTGTTAAAATCTAGTAGGCATCTAGTTTTCCGAAAATGTGGAATGTTATGTCAGTGTCATGCAGTTTCAGAAACACATTTTCAATATGCATTTAAAATAAACGTTCGGATGGGGATTACTGGTAGGGTCAAGTGGTGCAAAACCGAGACGATTTTTAAATCTGTATATTGAAAGCCACGTAGTATACCTCACGTTAAAAAAAGTTCATAATATTCATAATGAAGGGCGTTTTTGTTAAAAAACCGTGTCTCGTTTTTAACCACTATTTAGGCTAAAAATGAGACAGTGAGAGGTTAAAAACAAGACACTGTATTTTCTGGCCTTTTAGTCATTTTACATCAGTGTGGCAAAATATGAGACCCTGGGGAATAAAAACGAGACACACTGCAAGGGTTTTAAAGTGTTTAGTAAGTCAAATAACATAGTTAGGTTTTAAATTGCGACAACGTTCTTAAAGAAAACTCACATAATTAAATACAAAACTATGTTTATTAAACTAAAAAGAAAACAAATCCAAAAACAAGTTAAATAAACCATGCCTAATTCAAAAAGGGGTAAAACAAGATTTTCAATAGGATTTTAAGAGCTAAAGTAGAAAAATTATTATACTAACGTATTTTGTACTACATATTATTGAACGACGTATTTTTCAAAGTCGATAGGAAACCAATATTGCTGAGAGATACGACAGGTCTTACTTTCTATTTCTGGCTGGGGAAGTTTCATTCCTATGTCACTTTTGTCAATGAAGTACTTTTCCTCCATAGCCGGAAAAATACATTTAAATCCTTTGCGCCTCAGATATTTTACTTCTGCATCGCTCTCAAAAACTTTAAGGATTTGTGCCACGTAGTAAACTTGCGTCTTTTTAGTATTAAATTTAGTTAGGATAAAATCGTTTTCCCTAAGTTGATATGCTTCCGTAATTTCATGGTTTTTTTCTCTATTTTCTGATTGGTTGTCATCACATTATCTTCAATAATATCTTCTAGAGTCAAACCCTCTACATCGCTTTCATCTTGGTAAACTGGCTGTTCGTTAATGCTGCTTTCACTGTCACTCTCAACTACTGTTTTACTCGCCTTTTGCTTTTTTTTTTGATTTTGTAGATTTCACACCTTTATGACTTTTCTTATTTTGTTCTTTCTCATGTATTTCCTTTAAATATTTTTCTGTTGTTAGGACTTTTTCCATAGAGTCTATTTTTCTTCTTCTTGCTGTTATGTTTGGGGTTCTTCTAATTTTCTCCAGAAGTAACGTAGTAGATTGACCTGGAACAGATTCAATAAACTGTTCGGTCTGCGGTAGTGGAGTTTCTTCATCGCAATCTTCGAAAATATCAAGCGGATTTTCAAACACCCCATGTTCTTTATATCTAAGTAGCTTTGCAGGATCTAAGCGATCTTCTGGATATCTATTCTTATCGCATGGAAATATCCCAACCTTTTCAAACGAAGATTTAATAATTTCTGCAGATAAATCTTCATTCCAAATGCTGCAAATCAAATCACTAAAATCACTTCTAGAGGGTTTTCTCTGATTAAGTCTTTGCCAGTTAATCAAAATAAATTTTGCCCTTGGGAAAATTATTAGAGGTGGTAACAAAGTACCACTTGCTGAAATGCAGGCCATTCGGTGATATTTTCCGTTCCTGACCCCTCTATGTTCCGGTGAACTTTCTGACCAATACCAGCAACGCCTTTTATTCTGGTTGGGTCGGAAGAAAAACTGGTCTCGTCTAAATTCCAAATGTGTCTAGGCTTGTCTTGCAATTTCAAATCAGATATGCAAATATTCAGGCGATCGTAAAAGCCAAAGATGATGAATGGATCACTTGTAGCTGTCCTTCTGCATCTTTCCAGTTGCTCAAGCTTTTTTGACTTAGTCTATTGCGCTTACAAACATTTTTAAACCAATCTTTCGCGGGCTTTCCTTCCTTAAACTGGGTAGTAAGGTGGTTTTCTTGTACATAGGTTTGAACTATTGCTTCTGGTTTAGTGAGAGCAAACCCCCATTTTGCCATAATTTTTATTTATCACTTAAGTCTACTTCCATTTCTTTGGTTAGAGAAGTTTTTCTTCCCTGTTTACCAAGTGAACGAGTACGTTCTCGAAAGAGCAGATTTGTCAATTTTAAACTGTTTAGCTGCATTTCTAACAGATAAAGTGCCATTATCTATTAGTTTTAGTGCTGTTTCCATGTCCTTTTTATCGTAGGGGCGCTTTTTAGAAACGTAAACCTTCGGCATTATTATCAAAGGTATAAAAGCTGTCTTTTACCTGGCAGGTGTCTTGTTTTTAAACTGTGTGGTGTCTCGTTTTTGCACCTGTTATTCACGACGGGCCTGCTTGCCAACAAATAAAAATAGACTAAATTCGATATGGAATATCATAGCTGCATCTGTTATTTTGAAAACGCGATACTTGCCGAGTCTCTACGATCACGTACCGCGGCGCAACAGGAAAAGTTTGTAAATACAATTTAAAAGTTTTTTTCTCGATGTTTGTGTTTACGTTTATTCATTATTCATTACATATTTCAATTGTATATGTGTGGAAGTAATTTGTAACGTATTTTTTACAATGTTATTGTCTCATTTTTGCACCACTTGACCCTAACTCTTTAGTTGGCCTACGAGGGTTGTCTCCAGAATAAGGTTGTAACACTGTAACTTCGCCGCACGTGATGCTAGGCGAAATCTGGCAACATCGTCGGGTT